GGCGGCCCCCCGCCTGGGCTAGTGCGGACATCGTGGACCTCGTCCACGACCTCCGCACTAGGCACAGGAAGGTGGCTGTTTGGCATGGGGAAGTCCACCGTTGAGGACCTCCTCATGGAGGGAAGGCACTCTCAGGCTGCAGTCCCTGCAGGTGGGGGAATGCTGGAAAGGGGGACCCGAGGGAAAGGGGGCTGGAGGGTGTAGGGGGTGGGTTTTGGAGGGGGAGGAAGCCTTGTCTCCGGGGGGCTCTGTAGTCCTATCCTGTCACAGCTCTGCCAGGGAGACGGCCTCATAGGGTGCTCAGGCACCCCCTCTGATTCTCTGCTTCGTGTGTTTCTTTGTCTCCTTCTGCCGGTGGTGAGGACCATCAACTCCATCCTGCTGTGCAGGGTCATCCGCCTCGGACATCTGGACCCTATCATGGCTGGATTTGCAGCCCTGGGGTTCCCCTACTATGGATCCTGTCACAGCTCTGCCAGGGAGACGGCCTCATAGGGTGCTCAGGCACCCCCTCTGATTCTCTGCTTCGTGTGTTTCTTTGTCTCCTTCTGCCGGTGGTGAGGACCATCAACTCCATCCTGCTGTGCAGGGTCATCCGCCTCGGACATCTGGACCCTATCATGGCTGGATTTGCAGCCCTGGGGTTCCCCTACTATGGGGGAGTCATAGATGGAACCCACATCCCCATCCGGGCCCCAGAACATTGAGCCACCCAGCACATTAACCGCAAGGGCTATTTCTCGATGTGCTGCAGGCCCTGGTCAAGCACCACAGACAGTTCACGGACATTTTTGTTGGGTGGTCAGGCCGGGCACACAATGGCTGCATTTTCAGAAATTCCAGCCTCTATGGGAAGCTGGAGGCTGGCACATTCTTACCCCAGCGTGACTTTCGTGTCAGGGTCGTGCAGATGCTACTGTGCATTGTGGGGGATGCGGCCTACTCCCTTATGCTGTGGCTCATGAAGCTGTACACCGGCAACCTGGACCCCAGCAGGGACTGATTCAATGCCCACTTGGGCAGGGCCTGCATGCAGGTGGATTGCACTTTGGGTGCCTGAAGGCTCGGTCGAGGTGCCTCCTGACCTGCCTCGATGTGGGGGAGCACAACAGCCCCGAGGTGGTTGCCCTGTGTTACGTTCTCTACAACATTGTGGAGAGCAAAGGAGAGGTCTTCCTATTGGGGAGTGGGGGAGAGGCTGGCTGGGAGGGAAGGGCCTTCAGACAGCCACGCACAGCTGCCATCCACCATGCCCATCAACTGGGGGTGCGCATCCGGGAGGTTCTGAGGGAAAGTTTCTCTAAAAAACCCCAGTAACTCTCCTCAGGGCCTCCCCACTAGGGGCCTGAGCCTTGCCCCCCGATGCCCTTCCTCCCTTCCCTGTAAACTCAATAAAAACAATAGTTTTGTTTTCAAAACATAACACTGTATTTTTTTTTCAGTAAAAGTAGCTGGGGAGGAGGGGGTCTGAG